TAAATTAGACAACAGCGAAAAAACGATCGCGGTAATTGGGGATAGATGGTGGGCACAAGAGGCCGTAGAGGACGGGGATAAGATGTGCAAGAAATTTTTATGTAGTTTGTGGCAGAAACGTTAAGAGCTCCCAAATGTTGGTGGTGTCTCTAGTAGGGGTAGGAACGGTGCTCCGTCTCGAAAGGGACGCGTGGTCAATGGTCAAATGACTACGGCAAGCAACAAATGAGTACGCCCCCGCCCCCCCCTGGCGAGCAGGATATTGACTACGCCCCCCGCCCCCCTCGCCCTGCCGTGGCATCCCCCTTCTTCGGCTCTGTCCCGGTGCAGGCATCTTTCGAGGCGGCGCTGGCGCACATGGTGCGGGAGGACCCTTCTCTGGTGGTGGAAGCGGACGAGGAGTCCGGCCAGACAGTGCTCAAGGGTGTCGGGGAGTTACACCTGGAGGTAGTGCTGTAGGTGCCCACGACAAAATCCGATGGAAGAACAATCAGAATCTCACCCACCAAGATTATTTCATGAAGACGGCATTTCAACGCGCGTGTGATTGAGTGTGTCGTGTGCGTGGGTGTTTGATTTGACGTGCATGGTACCGGTTTACATATTGATGTTGATATCTATGTAATCCCGTGTTGTTGTCATGTTCGACCCGTCTCGAGAATCGACCACGAGCCCTGGCTAACTGACATGTCTGAACGCAGCTCTTCCTCCTGGCGGGGAGGTTGGCTGCTACGTTTTTCACGGAAGGCGAAACACGATGACGGTTGAGCTAGTCTGGGTGAACGGGAACGATGAAGAAACCGTAGCCATTGGTTGCTCGATTCTCGTCGTCGCCTTTAGACCACCCCGAATCCTCAACCGGGGCATCCATCGCTTGTACTGCTGTGCGCCATGCTGGAGGCATGGACTCACCCAACTTTTTTTTTTTCTTGGTGAGGCCCGTAAGACTGCGAGAACCCAAATTCCATCCCAGCAGCCGCCGATTTCAACAAACGTGAACTTTGTCTTCCGTTGTGTCCCCCCCCCCCCCCCCNGCCAGGTCGCTTGCGATCGGCTTCGAAGAGAGTTTGGCGTCCAGGTCCAGACGGGGCAGGTCTACGTGGCCTACCGGGAGGGCATTTTAGAGGAGACCGAGATGTGTGTCAGCGTCCGCCACCGAGCGAAAGCTCCCCCCCCAGCCCCCAATCTTCGTGGGGAAACTGCAGACAGTATTCATGATCACGAGCCCCCCCCTCCCCCTCCCTCGTTGGGTGGAAGGTGAACCTCACAAGATATGATTTGGAAACCTACCTAGAGTATATTTAACGTCTCTTGTAACCTTCGGTCTCATTTTTTTTTTGTCGACGCGCAGAGACGAGGACTACGAGCGCACTTTTGGCGGCAAGACAATTGCCGCGGGGCTGACGATCAGGGTAACGCCGACGGACGACTTGTCATCCGCGCCAGAGGTCCAAGTCTCGCCGGAGGTGGAGGCAGGGCTGGTGAAAGACGAGGTGTGCGTGCGTTATCGCGTGGGCAATGCAAACTACAAGTGTGCAGTTGGGGCCATATGAGCTTTTATGTGCGTGTTGCGTGTGTGTCTCTTGTCTACCTATGTAGCATCGATTGCGTCAAGCGAATTGAAAATGCCCCGGTCTTCTAGCGGACTATCAACGCGTGTGCGTGTGCATCGTGTGTTTTGTAGCCCCTTTGCTCCAAGACCTCTAACCGGGCGAGCCGACTGAACAACAGATTGAACACACATCGGTCTCTGCCAACGTTGCAATGAAGGCCGCAAACACCGCTGTCAAAGAATGAAAAAAAATCCCCGTGCGTAATCGACTGTGTGCTTTCTCGCTATTCGCGATCGACTGCGTTCACCGGCCGACAAATCACATGTTCCCGCGCGCGCGTGGTAATTACTCTGCCCGCCGGCTGCCCCACTACGGTCGTAACGTAACGCCGCAGTTTTGGTGTAGTTCGGAGACAAGCTGGAAGCAGACATTCGACCGAACGAGCCAGCCGATATTATACCTGTAATTGGTCAAAATCAGAGATCCCGTCCGCTATTGGTTGGAAACACTGCCGTGCCCCGTTTTTCAACAACGTGCAATGCGTACAATACCATCCGTGCTTGTGTCCTCCAAAAAAAAACATGTTGCTCAACGCCCCCCCCCCC